TATTCAGGGCGCAGAAAATGTTATGCCTACAGGTTCCAGTAACAGCAATCCAGCCCTGGGCTCATTTCATCTGAATTGGAGGATGAATTCATGTCTGTGATAGCAATGCATACCCATTGGCCAGACATGAACTTGTGTGGTTATTAGTATTTTCCCCTTGATTGCTCATGCTCCCTCCTCACTTTAACATTCACATAAACATGTATGCTCAGGCAAGGCATGTACATATTTATGTAATAGCTAAATAACTGAAATGACCTCTTGGTGGCCAGCTTGTGCCTGCACAATCGACCACCTTCCTTTGGTGTATGGCCAGTTTAACACAGGCTTTCTGAATATGCACAACTTAAGTATGTATCTAACTGCTAATGTAAGTTTAAATACACAGATCTTTTCACATATAATTTGTGCCTCTGCAAAAATAAAACATACACATAATTATGTATTATGTTATGGCCACTCTGCCTGTGCCTGCTTTGTGTTTTCTGATGTATAGATTGAGGGGAACAAAATCCATCCCAGTTTTGGCTTCAAAACAATCAGCATATAAATACAGTTGGAAAAACAGGCATTATTTTTAGTGACTGAAGTTCTTCTGTAATCAATAGAAAAGCTTACCTTATAAAGATACTAAACTCAGGAGGTAAACCTAAAAAATGCATTTAGGCACCTTGACTATTGAAAAAATGTATCTTATTTGTGCATAGTTCGGCTGTAGATCCTCAAATCATCTCTGAATTAGTGCTGACACTGTCCTTCCTTCTGGAATAATTTAGTTCCCCTGGTCCCTGTGTGTTGTTATGTAACCACCGCTCCAAGCTCACTCCCGTATTGAACGGCAATCTTAATATGAATTAGAAAACTAAACATGAGATTGTAGTCTATCACGGGAGTGAGCTTGGAGCGGTGGCTACTTAACAACACAGACAGGGACCATGGGGAACAAAAGTAGCCACCCTCCAGAAGGGAGAACAGTGTCAGCACCAATTCATAGATGATTTGAGGATCTACAGCCGAGTGTTACACAGATAAAATACATTTCTGTTAATAGTTAAGGTACTTGAATGCATTCTTAAGATTAAACTCCTGAGTTTAGTGTCACTTTGAAGTGGCTAAAGATTCATGGCCCGTGCACACCATTGCGGAGGCGGTATGCCACGTGTTCACGTGTGTTGCATTAAGACAGCCCATTCATTTGAAAAAAAGGTGCATCTAGCATTTCTAGCAGCGCAACCGATATGCACATTAATGTTTTGTCAAGCTGCACAGCAATGAACATCTGTCAGCAAGTTGTACTGTGGTGCCATCAGAATGAATGCCACCGAATCACACCTAAGGATGTAACATATGTTGCCACACCTCAATAGTGTGAATGAACCCTTAGACATAGTGGGGTTGATGTAATAAAGAAGGTCAATGTTCAGTTAGCCTAATGAAAATCTGTTCACTTCAAATACCCATTTTTGTGTAGAGTAATAAAAAATAAATAGGATTTGTTCCTGCATATCATTGATTCAGTGAACATAGGTTTACTAGCCTTAATTATCATTCTCTGTATTTGGTAAATCAACCTCATTGTCTTTATACCGAAATGACTGGTTATAAAAAATAAAAAAAAACATCTAACGATCGCTACTAGACCTGGAAAAAGAAACAATAAAATGCAATCCATTAATTATACCACATACCCAAACATAATTTATGTAGCCAATACTTATTTTTATTTATTTTCAACTATTAGCTGAAATAAAGAATCTTAGAAAATGTCACATAAAGATCCAGGTAAAGTTTTTTCAGACATAAAAAAAAATAAAAATAAAATAGTGACGAATGGGGGCCCTGCATTCATGTTAATGGTTTGTGTCCATACTGTATCCTGTACACTGTATAAGACAAAAATATAATTAAGACACTTCGTATGGAATATATGTTGAAGGAGTCCCATACAGTGACATGCTAAGTGGAATACAATTGCTGTTTTATCTACAATGTACATTCAAGACAGTTTGTATCATAAATTATCAAAACACTTGCATTTTTTCAAAAGACCGAGTCTACATTAACATTTTTTTAGGTGCTATCACTTTGTTGTAACACAGAATTGTTAAGACAGTACACAACTGGTTTTGGCAACAGTGTAACACAGCTATTTCTTCATTAACGAAACAACAGTTTCTTTTGCATGAGTTTGTGTCAAAAATAATTACAATCATTCAGGGAAGACGCCCATTTATTTATTAATTTGTTTTCACCAGTGAAATTGATAAATGATACACCTCTTTAAGTGTCATGATAGCATCTTGTGGAATATGTCACCATGTGATCACGTCAGTCTATTGTTGTAGACATAAAATTCTAACAGCATCAACAAACATCAATGAAGTACATATTGGCCACTCTCCCACTATGGATTTTGGATCAGGAAATGCATTACATACAGAGGTCTTGCAAAATTTTCAAACGGAGTCTTGTCAATTGGTACTGTCTAAACCCTTAAATGGCATGGGCCCTATACATAGTACAGCCACAACCTACTGATTTATATAGCTAAGCATGTATGGACATGCTTCTCATTGGGAGGTGTGTTTTGCCTTAATAATTTCTGTTGTACATTCCACTATGGAACACTTTCAAAATGACCGATGCTGTGCTATCATCTGGTCTGTTTTTTCTTAGACAGGCAGACCATTTAGACAAGCACAATAGGAGTTTCTATCCTTTGGCAAAACACACCCAACATAATTCCATAGAACGAAGACTCGGGAGTTCACAGGCACATCATGGGTCAGAGAAAAGATTTTAAGTTGCTGACCACAACTTGGACAATTTATCATGTGCCAGGGCTAACTCTCTGCAAGTGACTATCCATCTATCCATTCTAAACCTCCTTAATAAACGATTATATATATATTTTCGTAAATATATGCTTTCCCCCTAAATTCATCACAGTCCCTACTTTATTATATAACTTAACAGTGCATAATTATGAAATATAACTATCAATAAAATAAATATACAAATAAGTGACATTATTCTATATTGATAGGCATTTTTGTTTTATTAAATATTCTTGTTCACTAAATATCACTCACAATCCAAAGAATCTTCCATTTTGTTTGGTTTTAATATATGCACTCCATTGATATCTTTCCTACTCTTCTGATCCAAACATATATCTGTCACTTAATAACAGCAGCCAGTCGTACATTAATATGCCTTTCATTTAAAATCAATTTTTAATTGAACTGGAAAATGTGAAAAGATGTGATCTAAAGATCCGAACAAAGATTGGAAGTGCTTTCTCTGATTTGTTGGTTTTTGAGTAGCGAGACAACCTTAAGAAGTAGATTTATCATATGCAATCCTTTAAGTTAGGGGTAAATAATTTAGCACAGTGACTTTATTTCACAGTCACTTCTTGGATGATATTGTAGCTGCAAACACTTCTCTATCCTAGCCCACACATTGGTGTCAATATCTTAAAAAAGCTTAGGTGTGCCTTCTTATTGTCTACAAGTGCCCACTGACTGCTTGAGTTAATATGAATAACCTCCTCACATATACAGTGTGTGGTCGTCTGTTTTTTTTTTTCTTAGACTTATAATATTTTTTAAAGGTTGTATTATATCCCCAATGTACTGTAAAACCCATATACAAAAATAGTCACATATATAAATAAATGACCTACAAATAAAAAAACAAACAAACAAAAAAAAAACAGTTGTTCCACTAACACAAGTCTGTAAACATATGGCAGTATGGTAATCGAAAATGCAGACAGTGGACACAATTATTGTACTACAGTGTTTTATGTAAAACACACAAACAATATAAGTTTGCATTCCCATGACTGGTCCCGACAGACTAAGAAGCCGTTTGTGGACCTCTGCGTAAGAAGTGTCAACTGGTTGTTTAAACAGTAACCACCAGTCAAGGCTGATACACCATCTCTTGACAAGAGGTCACTGTCTTATTATAGGCACTGACCTTGAGTACATGTATGCAAGAACTGTCAGTTTGGCATAGATCTCCAAGAGGAGTCCTGTTGACACAGATGGGTCATCTTCACAGGTTGTAAACAATTTATCACACAAATGAAAAAATGTGCAGTTTTATTTTTTATTCTCTCTGGAATCTTTGCTTTTGTCCTCTTTTTCTGCTTTGTCTTTTTCGTGTTTTTCCTTTTCTGGTTTTGTTACGCTATCGTACGATGGAGGTGATGTTGTAGAGGGTGTTATATCAGTTTTTTCTGTAGTTGAGTTCCCATTAAGCTTGTCAATAACCATGTCTTCTTTAATAGGCAAGCTATTTACTTCTTTCATTCTATCTTTTCTATACATATATGAAGCATGTTTAATAGTTTTCCAAAAAAGAAATTTCCGGAAACATCGCTGAATGATGATTGCTGACAATTCCTCTTGTTTTCTCCGTAAGGTAGACGTAATTGGTTCATAGGAGACCTTTGAAGGGTTGGATGCCATAAAACGCTCTTCCATTGGTTGGCGAAGATTATCCATTTCGTCTCCTTCACCCAACACTCGCTTTGTAAAGGCAAACAAGATGTCAAGGCAGTGAATTCTGTCACCGCTTACCATGGGAAGATCCATTGCAATAAGCGGAACTCTGTTTGGTTTTGGTATGCGAAGAGGTGGATCCAGGGCATCAGCAAAATCAGGCAATTTACAGTACTGAATGAATTGTGTTGCATCTGGATCAAACTTTTCCCAGACTTCATAGAACATTTCAAAGTCATCCTCTCCAAGAGGTTCTGCACTTTCCTCCGTGGCAACACTAAAGTTCTCCAAAATGACAGCAATATACATGTTTACCACCACTAAAAAGGATATGATGATATAACTTACAAAGAAAAAAATCCCAACAGATGGGTTACCACAATCTCCTCTAACAGAACTCCCAGGGTGTTCTGCATGTGGGTCACAGTCTGGTGCTCCACTATTCAGAATTGGGGCTAATAATCCATCCCACCCAGCTGATGTAGTAATTTGGAACAAGCAAATCATACTGTTGCCAAATGTTTCAAAATTAAACATGTCATCAATTCCTGCTTCTTTCTTGACATAGGCAAAGTTGGACATTCCAAAGATAGCGTAAATAAACATCACTAAGAAGAGCAGAAGACCAATATTGAACAGGGCTGGAAGTGACATCATCAAAGCAAAAAGTAGAGTGCGAATTCCCTTGGCTCCTTTAATGAGACGCAAGATTCTCCCAATCCTGGCAAGTCTTATAACTCTGAATAATGTTGGAGAAACAAAATAGTTTTCTATCATGTCGGCCAGAAACATGCCTAGAAAGAAACGTAGATACAGATATTAAAGATGGGCTGGCAGATTTTTAAAAAAATAACATAACAGCATTTCTGCACTTTGGAATTGAAAATTTTAAAAATTTAAACAGGTCAGTTATAAGTATGTGGTTAACATTTGTATTCGGCTTCACTGACCATGGGTGAGGGGAATCATGGAATCACCAGGCTGTGCAGGGAAGCCCATTTGTCCCTTGATCTAGCAAGAGATGTACACATATCCTGTATCCTGTTGGATTTCAAAGTGTTCCTAAGATGTTTAACAGCTAAATTGTTTTTACTGAGCCCTGCTCTGATTACACGACTTAAAGTGCCCCAGAAGTTGTTTCCCACAGGGATCAATGTAAGGCAACCAAATAACATCAGCAGGCATCTCTCAGTGTAACAGACTTTATATTGCAACTTATTTTATGCAAATTGCTTATCTTATTCTTAGCTCTTCCCATGCTGCTTCTGGGATGGATGACTGGTTCTGCGAAGCCACTCCTCTTCTCCTGGTCACACAGATGCACCCACATCAATGTCATCAAATACAATGCAGGCCCAGGGCCACTGATGGTTCTGCAATGTATGTGATTACATCAAGGGCCTGCCTAGAGTCTAGCACTGGAGCAGGAGTAAGACGGATCACTGGATGCGGCTGATGCAGGTAATAAAGTAAGTATTCCTCTCCATTATAACCCTCCTACACTATACAAGCAGTAAGTTGTGAATGTATGGGGGGTGGAGGGGGGGCACTTTGTTTATTACTTTACAGCTCACATGAGTCTAGCTTTAGAAGGAATGTGGTAGATCCGACTTCTGACTTCTATTTGAAGGTTCAAATTCCAGGTCTGTCTTTTTCTTTTTAATTCCTCCTCACCATAGTAAGTCACTGTGCTAGAATAATAACCAAGTGACGCAAGAATCATGGTGACATCCCTAGAGCCTGCATCTTTAAAAACCAGCTGAACTATCACAGACTTTGTATTTCTAACCTAAGAAAATCTCTGTCAAAACCCAGTTGTCTATCTTGTCTTCTCTTCTTCCAATCACACAGATGTTTACAACAGTGTGGAAGTCTCTAATAGGCAAATGAATACTATCTTTCTTCAAAGACTCTCATAATTGTGATGAAAAACATACATGATTTTCATTCAATATAAGAACATTGGGAGGGAAGGTGTAAATTGCAGGAGAATAAAGTGAGTAAAAATAAAATGTACAGCTCAGCTTTGGGCTCTAGGACAACTGGGGCTATTATATTATCCATGGTAATTTTATTTTTTAAAGTATTTTAGCTTTAGAGACCATACTGAATATTTATCCAAAGTAATGGTTTCCATTGTGCTTATCTCTTGTCTTAGTAAACCATCTTTCTTTTGACTTTGTTTATACAGAATGATGCTGACCCTAAATTGGCTAAACAGGAACAGGGTAAGACAGGCAAAGCACAATAAGAGACAGTTAGTCCTCATTCACAGTGAATGAGATACATGGGTTTGTATGCATTTATAGGATATTTATAAATGCATATACTGATTTTAAATGGTATAATTCACACTGTACATCCACCTGCCCTTAGATGCACCCAGGTTAGCCCCCTTTCACTTGGCCACCTTCAGTACCAATCAGCAGGTGATCCGTGCACAGATACGTTGTGACATCTGTGTCCACCCAGTTTTTCCTCCATATTGCAATGGACAAAAAAAATGAAATTACCAGACCCTTGCTGGTCTGTTTGTCCATGTGTCCATTTACAACAGATCACCCCCAACCTGCCACGATCAGGTGCGCCAAAATTAAACTCTGTTTTATTTATTTTTCCAGACCTGGTTGGAGTCGGGGGTAACCGGATGTAAACAGACTCATGTCCTTTTAGATGTGGCTGCCCATAGACTAACACTGGGCTACCGATCAGATCCGCCTGGAAAACTGACAGGAAAACCTTATCCGAATGCCCGTGTGAAAGGGATCCAACTTTTTTTTATAGAAAATAAAAGTCTGTGCATCCAGGGGCAGATTAGATACTCTCAATACATGTAAAAGCATGGAGACGTGTGTAAACGCTGATTCATTTAAACACCGGAATAAGTGATCTTGAAAGTAAAAAGTTTGTTTGTACTTCCCAGATCAATTTTTCCTGCTTTTAAAAGAAACAAACGCAAAAGGTTCCTAAGAATGAGGGCTCAGACGACAATACAACTGGTATCATATTTCAGAAGCCACATTAATTTTAATGATAAGCACAGTGGTTTTGTGGAAGCAAAGAGGAAATAAAAGTTATATAAAAGTTATGTTTTGGTACACTAATTTTGGTTTCAATATTTGGGTGCCACAAATGAATGAAGACACCCATCAATTCAAGGCCACAAAAGTTTAAGTTCAAAAGCATACATCAGATGAAAGAGCTGTACTTATCAAATGTATCTTAGAAAATAAAATTAAAAACATTTTTATCAGCAGCCCCCCGTAAACACATAACCATTGTTTTAAACTTCACAGTACAAAAATACAGCATGGCTCACTTTTTGGAATAAGTGACAGGGTTCATTAGTTTCTCTATAAAATATAGGGAGATAGTATATTATTATATGTATCCGCCATTCTCTGTATTATTCGAAACTGCTGTCTTGGTTAAAAATTCAAGTGAGCATCCAGTTGTCTGTACCATTTGATCAACACCACTATTTTTCTTTGCTTTTATTTGTTTCACAATAATTCTACACTTTAAAGACTTGTGCATAGCTAACAATACTTACCAACAATGGAGAGAATAACAACAACAAAATCAAAAATGTTCCAGCCAATTGTGAAGTAATAATACCGTAGTGAGATCAGTTTCATAACAAATTCACCAGTGAACAGGACAATGAAGACCAAGTTGATCCAGTACAAGTTATTTTCCATATCTTGGCTCTGTTCATCTGTTTCAATCATCATTGTCACCATGTTAAGGCAAATAAGTATCATGATGGTGATATCAAAGGCTTGCCTTGTTACAATATCGAACACAAAACCTTGGTATTTATTCTGTCAAAAACAAAAACAGAATAATCAGTAAACACTTTCTGTATAAAAATACATTATATTGTTGTCTTGGCATCTTTCAAAATATCAATTCTTCTTCTCTATACTGGCTAAGTCTGAGTTCTGCAGGCTAGTGATTAAAGGAGATCTATGAGGTGAGTGAAAATCACTCATCCTCATAGTTCGAGCCGACACGTGACAATGAAACTGTCACACGTCGGCTCAATAGATCGGGAGGTGAGCGAACACAAACTCTCGCTCACTTCTCGATCACCTCCCTGCAGAGAGCGGTGTCGGTCAGTCACCGATCCCTGCCGGAATTCCCCCCTCCCCTATCCGATCCTCCAGCGCTGACTGAAGGAACGGACGAGGGAGGGGGCGGGTACAGCTGGATCTGCCTCTAGATAAGTAGAGCCAGCTGTCACTCACGCAGCTGGGTGGATCTCAACAGTATTGTTGGGATCCGTCCCGGCTGCGGCGGTCTTAGTATGCCGCGAGCTGTAGCTCGCAGTATACTGAGCTTTGGGTCACGGGAGGACGCTAGTATATGTCCACCCGTGACCCTTAAGAGAACTGTGGGGGAAAACACTTACCCCATAGTTCTCTTTTAAATACAAAGACAGAAGTTTTCTAAATACCTGAAGAGTTGCTTTATGAACTAAGACATTTTTGTCAGTTAATCTATATTTGCTTTAGAGATGACTGGGCAATTTCACTTTATCCAGTATTACATGAACATTGGCCTCTAACTATACCATGTGGCATGCAAGGCAAAAAGAATGCACCAACGTCAGTTCCATTGCAGTATTGCCCTTAAGTGTTCCAAAATGTTATGCATATCACACACAGTAAGTGAATCTGAACAGCATACATGGCGTCAAACTATGTTTCTTTTAGTTGATTTAGTGGCTTCCAGTAATATGACACACTTACCGGTGGTCTTGGAATGGGCTTTTGTGGCTTTTTAGATCCCAGCTTTTTCATGGCGTTATAATATTTCTTTTGCTCCTCTGTCATGAAGATATCCTGACCTCCAAAGTAAAGAATGAAAATAAAAACTGTTTAAAACCTTATTACATTCAATTATTACAGAGCACATTGATGTCACCTAAACAATGTTTTAAAAGAAAAAAAAAGGGGAGATAATATAGTATTTAGGGTGTATCTATGGGTCCTGAATGTGTGGCTGTGACTGTGATATGGGTGCATATATGTGTGTATTTTAATATGTAACAGTTGGTATAGGCTACCTACAGAAAGATTTATTGAGCTCTAAAGATTCCATGTAGTGATCACCGGACTGCTCTGTTATAAATTAATTTAATCTCCTTGAGATGGAGCCTGAGGCACGCTTCTACCAGAAAACCTCTGATTGAGCTTCTGAGCAGGATTGTGGATTCTAAACAGTGGTCTGAATTCTGTTCCAATAACAAATATTTTAAAGTATGTAATATAACATACTGTATATCACCATGCTAGACAACCCATCCAAATAGCAGTAATATAATATAATACTTATCTTCTTCTTTTGCTGGTTGAAATTGTCAATAATGACACCAATGAAGAGGTTCAGAGTGAAAAAGGAGCCAAATATGATGAAGATGACAAAGTATAAATACATATATAAGTTGTCTTCATATTTAGGTTGCTCTTGTAGCTGTAAATTGAAGTTTAGAAATATAACAATGACAATGAGTTAGAGATATAGTGACACAGTATTACCCTTTTTTTGCATATTCTATAAATCGTTGTAGCTGGCTCTCAACCTGTTTGGGCATCTAAATATGCAGAATGGCAACCCGTTTTAGTAAATCGCTCATTGGTATCCAATTTCTAAAGTCATACTTGAATATTTATTGTTATAATGACCAGACAATGGGGGTAGGCATGATGTTGTTCTGAAGGTGGCATGATGCTACTATGCAACTATGTAAAGTGCTTCGTAAATTGTTGGCACTATATAAATACCTGTAATAATAAATAAATACATAGGGGTTGATTTACTAACCTTATACACACACGCTATGAACAAGTATACACCTCTGTAGTGTGTTCCCTCCCAGCATGATCTATTGGTGGAATCTAGACACCTTTGTAGTGTGTACACAACCAGCAGGTGTGTTGCGCAAAGCCCTGCATGAATTGCAAGGTGATGTTGTGTAAATTAGCTCTACATTGTGTTGCTTGCGTTGATGAATGCAGGAATGTAAATGCATGAGCTAACCATTTTTGTCTAAACTGTGAAGCAGCATTATATATGCATCATGCCCATGATTTTTCCATATATGGCATTAGTGGAAATATGCTTTTAGAGACTTTTTGGTTGATAAATACGTTTTGCTGTGTAAAAATCACACGCACCTAGTGCGTGCGTGTGTTTAGGTTAGTAAATCACCCCCCATAGTGTCCTGAAGGCTGATATACAGAAAATATCCTTTTGGGAATATCCCGTAACAATTATGTTTCTACTTATTGCTCATGACAAACAATGTTACCCACTTCATGTATGCCCTTTAGGTATTCATATGATCTCAGAAAATATAAGTCTGTATTATAAGAAAAAAGCTAGCAGAGTCAGAGGACCTCAAATTTTGAACACTTGTATTCAGAAAGTACTTGTGAGGGCCTCTATAAATATGGACATCTACAGCCAATAGTGCAACTGACAGCTGATTCATCTGGCCAGTTCATAGACTTGCTGGAGCAGTAAATACAACCTTTTTATATAAGAAGATTATTTTAAAACATTAACACGCACTGGCATTGTTAATTATATCAAGTTGATCTCTTTTACATTCCCCCCCCAAAAAAACCTGAAGAGGCTATATGTATTCCCTTGTAGGCTCTGTTCACATCTTGTCAATGCAGGAGTGTGTGTCATGTGTGATACCTCACGCAATTCGGCCTCACATGTATAATGTTAGGTGTGCTCTGCTACCTTTATTTCTTAATGCCACCCCAACGCACCCAGTCATTGCATGTGCATTGTATCGCACCACATCACACAGCAAACTATTACTATGCGATGTGGTGGGATGGGATTTAGAAAAAAGGTGCATGCACTTTTTGAGTGCAATTTAGCTGCTGTAGGCAGCACATTCAAATGAATGGGCTTCCCCACCACAGCGTACCACAACATACCCTGCAGCACCCCGCAGAGGTGTGAATGGAGACTAAGCTTTTGCCATTAGAGTGTGTATTCCTGGATAAGCCAAACAATAATAGATTGCAAAAGGAAGCAATGAATAAACTGATAAAAAAAAGCATTGTTGTTAAAGAGGAACTTTACCCATATCTTAAAAATAACAACAAAGGCACTTGTAGAAATGTTTAGTAATGGCAATCTACAAACACATACTTCTAGATTATTGCTGGCTTTTTATTCTTTGCATATTTTATTTCTCTTTTCTTCCGTCACACGAAGCAAGCCGATGTACGGCTGAAATCAGCCGTACCAGCCTGAAGTGAATAGCCGAACAGTGTTCGGCTCACTTCACTTCTGATCGGTCTTTCACTCGGCTGCCCTCGGCAGCTTTGTGAATAGACCCCTAGGACATGTGACCATGCACATCATCTCTAGGGAGGAAAATGCCTTTCCCTGAAATCTCATGAGATAACATGACATTTCATAGCAATGCTCTGCTGATGTAACCTTCCCAGGCTGTAACGCTTTGGCACATTACATAATTTCTGCCAAAGTGGACCAGGAAGTGGAAACAAGAAATTGTCAGTAAAATAAAAATATGTTTGGTTATCTAATGAATGTAAGGTGATTTCCTATCAGCATGCAGAGCTGTATGCTGATGTGTTTTTTAGTTAAAGGGGGCAAAGGCCCACTTTAAGAGGGCATATGTGAAAGGCCATGTAAATAACTCAAAAAATTAACCAGTCTGAGCACTTCAAGACTTGACACATCTGGGTCATGTAAAGGCACTGTTATCACGTTTTTTCATATGATTGCATGCGATTGTGAGAACATGTTTAGGAAAACAATATCCAATCCCCTTTTCTAAAGGAAAAAGTTGATGGCATTCCAGTGTGCTAGCACCAGAATGAGTTGTAAATGTGTAACCAACAGTAGCTGTCAGTGAGACATCTGCCTGTTCATGGCTGTCCTAATGTTGGCCAACTGATCTTACATAAATAACAGAAGTGATTTAGAATCTATACCAACCTTTCGGGAGTCAACTGCAGCATACATTATATCCATCCAGCCTTTAAACGTTGCCTACAAAAAATATATATAGGATTTACATAGTTAGGAGCATGCAAGACAGAAAAAAACTTTTAAGTACTACTGGGTTACATATAAAGTTTTTGACAGATGCCACAACATTTAAATTGCCCACACACGTCACAGCTGGCAATATAATAACAATATAAGTGATTTTTTTTTTAATGTGGCACGTTTTGACATGTATTTGGCAATCAGACGTTGTGGGGGTAATATGTTAAAGGAAGCCTGTACTTCAAAGGCTTCTGTTACCAACCTATCCTAATGAAAATCCTAGTTCCCTGGCTGTCATGTCAATCCAGTGGCTTTAGTATTTTCTCAATCACTGACCCAGAGCAAGTTTGCCAATTAGTTATTAAGTCTTTAGTCTAACATTTCTGGTTCCAAGCCTGCTTTGGACCAATGAAATATGTATAATCCGCGCTTTATAGATCGATATGGATATCTCAATTGGATATCAAGAATAAATGAATAAATTAATTAATAAATTAATGCATAAATACCTCTATATTAGAGCTGCTGTACTAGGGACACTAGGGTCAGATATAATATAACTGGATGTGCAGCGCTCAGGATTATCAATAAATAAAATCAGTGTTGGCACCTGAAACTTGATAAGTGTTAATAATCAATAATAACCAGTGAAAAAAATCAAATCGCGCACGAATACATGAAATAAATAAATAATCGTGCACGAATACATGAAATATTATTATATTATTTTTATAAGTACATTTTATTTGTACATTTTTACATTACATTATTAACACTTATCAAGTTTCAGGTGCCAACACTGATTTTATTTATTGATAATCCTGAGCGCTGCTTTTGACCAATGTCTCATAAAGTACTGAAGCCAGAGACAGCCATGCAGCTAACATCTTCAGATGGTGGTAAGCACATTTCTCTCAGTACAGGTTTCCTTTAAAAGAGTATTTTTTAGTGTATGAAGAGAGTCTTTATTTGCATCATTCATCTAATTATATGAATGGAACATATTTGCATATTTTTTTACTTACCTGCACGTGATTGAGTGTCTTAAATGAACACCTATTTACATAACTAAAAGTGGAAATTACTTTATTTTAGTAAGTAATCCCCAGCATGTGGGAATAAGTCTATATCTGGGATTTTCAAAGACTTGCAAGCAATTTTTTTTAAAGTTTTGTTCAGAGAAAGGAATGCACAGGACTCCATCATTTATCCATTGTGTTTTGTGTATTGTCTCTGCCAACAATTCCAAGCCAATAGTGCCATTCTCATTTATTATACTTTGTTGCCTCCTTGTATTTCTTGGAGCTAGTGGCACTAAACACAGGAGTTCAATATTAAAAAATGCATTCAAGTACCTTAACTATTAACAAAAATATATCTTATTTGTGTATCACTCGGCTGTAGATCCTCAAATCATCTCTGAATTGGTGCTGATGCTGTCCTACTTTCTGGAGGGTGGCTACTTTTGTTCCCCATGGTCCCTGTGTGTGTGTGTTGTAAAGCAATCACCGCTCCACGTTCACTCCCATGATGGATTACAATCACATGTTTAGTGTACTAATTTGTATTGAGATTGTAGTCCATCATGGGAGTGAGCTTGGAGTGGTGACTACTTTACAACACACACAGAGACCATGGGGAACAAAAGTAGTCACCCTCCAGGAAGGACAGTGTCAGCACCTATTCAGAGATGGTTTGAGGATCTACAGCCGAGTGATACACAAATAAGCTAGATTTATGTTAAAAGTTAAAGAACTTAAATGCATTTTTAAGATTTAACTCCTGAGCTTAGTGTCACTTTAAGTATTAACTACATAGAGTCAGTGGCATGTGCAAATAAACAAGTGACAGAGATAAATGAAGTAACTATACTTACTACTTGGAGTAAAGCAAGATAACCAGCTCCTACGTTATCAAAATTGACTTTAACGTTCTTCCACCGAGCACTTTCATTGGCCTTTATTAGCAGTAAACAGTCTGACTGGTTTTCAACTTCAGTAATTGGAAATATTTCACCAGTGGTAGTGTTAACACAATGATAATATTTTCCGGCAAACAGATTCACACCCATTATACTGAAAATTAACCAGAATATCAGACAAACCAGAAGTACGTTCATAATGGAAGGAATGGCTCCGATCAGTGCATTTACAACCACCTAGTATAATAATTAGGAAAAGAAAAAAAAGACACGTCATTTCTGGCACTGGGGAGAATTTATGTTTTCAATCTGGTTTCAGACATGGAGAAAACTACAAAAAAATCTAAACAGATGGATTGTGTGGGAAAGAAACCACGTCGCACATACAAAAGAGAAACTACACAATATAAAAAAGAAAGACCTGATAGTGGAAAGATGGACTCACATAAATGTAAACTGCAGAAAAATAAGAGATAAAACGTTAAAATAAAGGATAAAACAAAAAACATGTCAAAGTATAAAGAAAAACAAACAGAAGACACAATTTTATCAAGAAATAATAAAATGAAGGATGAGTGACAGTTAAAATAAGCCAGGTAACAGTGTTTTGTATTACAAAGGTCAGTTAGAAAAACGCAGCACAGATTTCAGTTCAAAACATGCACTACATTAAATTTAGTAGCACATGCTACTATCATATGTAAATGCACATGGGAATCGTGATGGCCATGCATTACATAAAATAATGTACCTTTAATTGTTGAATTTTAGGTTTTTTTCGGCAGGGACTTAAACTATCAGAAACTTAAAATAACTGTCCTTTCTCATAGAGCAACCTAGTGTACTTCTTAATCCATACCCCATAGTCATAAAATGTGGACTGGAAGAGTGTCTGCTTCCTAATTGTTGTGCAGATGAGGGTTTATGCACAGAGCAGAAATCTCTGCTGCCAGCTTTATTTAAAAGGGAAGCAATAACCTGGGAAAGTCACATCTGAATGCTCAAGTCTTACCCTGAGACAATTCAACAAGAAAATCTTTGCTGAGGTTGTACTGTGCCTACGGACTTATACATTCATTTTAAGCACTGAGGACCTCTTTGGAGGGGTTTTAGCAAAGTTTTTGTTGTACAGATCTCTGACCCCTACCTTTAACATAACTTTTAAGATACAACTAAAGGCTCCTCTATGAGAGTCTAAACAAATACCAAATCCAGTTACTATGTGATGCAAGAGCCTCATAAAGTAACCAGAAAACTTCCTTTTACCACTTGCTGACCAGGTATTTAGACCCCCTCCCTAGCCAGGCTACTTTTTAATATTTAGCGCTGCGGTATCTGACTGACATTTATTCTGTCATGCAACGCTGTACTGAAATTTATTTTATAAAAAAGTTTGGGGACAGATAGAGCTTTCTTTTGGTGTTTGGTATTTAATCGCCACTGGGGGTTTTATTTTTTTGCTATATTAAGGAAAAATTATTGAAAATTATTATGTTAGGAATGATTATTACCCATATTTTTGGTAAAATATAAAAGACGGGGTCACGTCGGGTAATTAGACACCAAACATGTCAAGCTTTAAAATAGCGCGCACCCGCGAAATCACAAAAAAAGTACCATATCCAAAATTGACCATTGGCGACGCTTTAAAAGCTGTTACCGCTCATCAGTTTACTGTTATCAGTGATTGATGGGCATATAATTATTGCTCTCATTCCGACGTTCGCGACGATATGTGACATGTGTGGCGTAATGGGTCCAATCGTCGTTTTCGCATGTATGCGCACCAGATGCATCTTTGCATGCATGTATGTATGGGGGGAACTTGAAAAAAAACTGTTTTTTTAAATTCTTTTTTGTGTCTTTTTTTGGGGGGGCGCCTGGGACCAGCGTGACAGCGGGAGGGGGGCGCACATACCGAGACATCATACAAGCCATCCGCCGGTTCTATATCCGGCACATCGCTTGTATGTTAACAGGCATCGCTGCCTGTTTTTAAATTTTGGGACTTTCCCGGGCGTGGCTGGCTGAGCGGACATCTAAAGACGCCCTCTCAGATCTAGAGAGCTCCCGGCCGGCCGTTTTTTTACAACAGCCGGCCGGGAAGTGGTTAACTTCCCTGGCTGGTCCAAATCCTTCTTTATCCATGTCTCAAACGCTGCCAATCCAGAAAGCAGTGGGTAGGACTAGGTGTGACCTAGTGCTGATTGACAAGCTACAGCCTTGTGAATTAGCAGTGACAATGCTGATAGCCCCAACCCCTGCAACATTTTTTATCCCACTGTAGTACAAGCAGGTAGAGCTACATTGAGAGTGGCTCTGAATTCAGAAGCAGTGCATCATTGTTGCCTCACCATAACAGGAAACTGTATTTGGTAGATGTCACATGCAGGCTCAATATACTTATAATAAAGTGCTGCAGCGCATATTTTCTAATAAGTAGTTATAGTTCTGTTTTACATTAAAGGGAAGTAGAACCCATGTCAGATGTTTTATTACAGTTGATGACCCCACTGGGAAGGTTTTCCCTCTCTATTTGCAGGACAGAAAGTCATGGGAAAATCAAAAATCTTTTACATCAGTTACCAGAACAGAAGATGCGGATACACCTGTTCTGTGACCTAAGTGGGATATCCTCTCACTTTGGTGAGATTTCCTCACACTTGCTGTCACTAGATGAAGCTGAAAAGCACAGGAATATCCTATGCTCCTCGGTTCCTTTCTGAAGGGCATTTTTCCAGCATATGGCTGGATGGAAGATTTATAAATGGGCCCCTTAATTTTCTCCAACACTCAAACTTAATTCTTAAACTAATCTAGAAACATACTGTAAGTTTTGCCTTTAGATGTATTTTAACTTTTCCCTTAACAAAATCTTACAATTTAATTTAACTTCTAAAATAAACCCTCAACTTTTAATACGCTCCAGCACTTAAACTCAATTCTTAACTCAACCTGGCAACTTAACCCTAATATAAACCTGTGTTTTGCCCGTGCAGTGCAAAGCACAGGTTCCCTTTAATTCCCCCCTCCCCAGCAGCATATAATCACATTCCTTTGTTTCCCTGGTGCTCCGTGCAGCTGCCAAGAGCAGGAAAAGCCACCCTGTATAAGTTACAAGTTGCTTGAGTCATAGCTTCCACAATGTGAACTCTCCCCATGTGACATCACTGGTGCTTTTTGATTGGCCCAGCACTCTCATATGGAGTGAGTCAAATGTTCCTCTATACCTGGAAGTACACAATAGTAAGATTCCACTACTGTATCCCTGTTCCAGTGACAGCTGTACAATGTTGAAGCTACTATCACTTCCTGTCCCATGACCAGGACAAACAGAGAGTCACCAGTTACCAGGACACATAGAGCAGGTGAATGTCCCCAGCAAGTAGATAGGAAGAGAGGGGCAAGGCAATGCTAAACAGGAGCAGCGAGACATATTATGCACCATACTTAGGGCATATTCACACCAGGGGTGTGTATTGTATTGTATAGGGGTGGTGCAACCCAATGTTACAATGTATTGCACTGTTTACTTTTTCATAGTGTTAAACTTCATTGAAACTTCATGCACTGCAGCATGTTAAGATACATTGTAGCGTGCCAAAACGCTCTACGCTGTATACAAATGCAACCTATCCTACTTTTTTCAGCGTTGCATTGCTGTAAACTGAAACAATAGAACATAAAGGACAAAAACAGGCCTATCTTTACATTGGGAGTGTGTTGGGCAATGCTGCAGCTTTATTTGTGTCTAAATGCATTTCTAATTAGCTTAATAAATGTCTCCTAGGGAGTTTTAAACCTTTTCCACTCTATCAAAACATAGTTTTGGCTTTAAATATACTTTGGAGTACTGTGGCTAAAATACAGTATTCCTCTCTACCCCCCTCCCACCACCACATCTTATCATTTCTATTCTGTTTAATCTGTTTGACAAATGTAGATACATTGCTGTAGAAAGATGCTTTCTCAATAGCACTTGCCATTTATTTCTCTCTGGTTTCCAGAAACGTCTGGTTGTTGTATTTCCAGATAACAGATTCTGTGCCTGTACTACTATGAGAAAGGGCAGTAAATCATAGTAGAATAAAACTTCTAATTGTGATATTATTATTAGTCAAGTCACAAAACCCTCTTATTAAATTTCAGTACTCCGCACAGAGCAAAGAGTGCGCTATAAGGTCAGCCATTCTCATATGCTCACACTGACTTCTTTTCAAAAAACTTTGATATCAGTATATTTTTAACATCTTATGCTTCAAAAACCATTGGCATAACATTTTTGACTATGTAAAATAAATTTTTGCTAAGATTTTTAAAGGAGAACTGGAAGGCTTTGAGTTAAACTTTAAGAAGCATTTTTTACATTTGCCAGCTTTACTGTTGCAATTAAAATCTGTGGCATCTTACTCAATATAAAACTAAAGTCTTTAGCCTAATAACAGCCAGACACAGTAGGGGTCATTTACAAAATGGTTATGTCCACTTTTACTTCCTTCCACTTTTTATGCTCATCAACTGGCTTTGAAATACATTTTTTGCACTACTCTTTGTACTCTATGAAGTACAATTTGAATATAGAGAATCCTGGATGCCTGCAGTTATAGCAGCATATCCCTAGCAAATCTCCACTAGCATAACTACCACAGCACTTGCAGAATGGAGCCCACTCAATACTGGATGCTCTTCTGCACAGATTTAGGGGCTAGCTGATGCAGTTCTAAACAATAATACTTGGTTGGGCTGAGCATACATGTATATGTGAATGGAAGAGGTGAGAGCTGGAATAGACAGCACTGGTAGATGCTGCAGGTACCATTTATCTGAAGGCAAGGGGAAAAAAGGGATACAACAGAACAGGAACATATTTTTGACCCCACCCCCCTTCATCTGCTTAACCCCAAAGCCATGTAGTCATAACCCAATCTACCATTTCCTTCTTCTCAATTGTAATAGGGCAGCCTAAAAGGTGCTGGCAAGCTTTGGCCTTCTGCTTTTGGACTAATGCAGCTTGCTTTTGACATCAACTTAAGACATTCTTAGATCATTAAGAATTAATTGCAGGATCAACTGACCTCCTTCTGTCCTGCATTTGACCTCCTTTAAACACCTTTTGCTTTCCCACAGACTTGTATGGGGAGAGAAGCAATTCTAATGTGAACAAAAGCCCATCATACAGACCCTTAGTAGCTGAATTCTCCAGATGGCAAAGCTCCTGATTGCCGAAAGGTATTTTT